AATAACGATCAACGTTAATCCTATAGAGATAGCGCTGTAAGTGACGTTTGCTGTTGCGTGGAGGGAAATTATGAATAGCCACTACGTCGGAGAGAGGGGAACAAACACTGAGGGTCGATCTGATGGCCCACGGCCCGGGGAAAAGAGAGCCTTAGACACTTTAACCCAGCGAATGGTTGGAACCAAATACTGAAAATGGTCAAAAAGAAGAATGAGGTAGTGAGAAGTTCCTCGACATCCCGAATGGCGAGTAAAACGTCGTCAACGAATGTATTAACGCATAAAAGACTGTATATGGCACTATCGGTGAAACGCCGGAAGGTATGGGACATTGAGGAGGGCAAAAGGCATGCGAAGAAATACAAGCAAACCAAGGAAATTCATAACGTTTTTCAGAACGTCTTTATGGGCAATCGGTATTTAGTAGAAATAACCGACCAAGTCAGTTTTCGAGAAAGCGATTTCGTCAAAAATAGTTTCCACAAAATCCCGAGAATGAAACGTCGGATACCAATCATAAGAGGTAATATTGCTCAAAGTCCTACATCTTCATAAGGGCTGTGGTTCGCTAACCATGTCAGTGAAAAGACCCAGGGATTACTATTCTGTCCAATAAGCCCCAGCTATAACGTACGACAAAACCTGTTTCGGCTACTACGAGACGGCGGAGGCAAAGGGGGAAATCGGATATTTTGATACAGCAAATAAGATCGTGGGCCAGAGAAGAGCCAGAGAAAAGAGATTTGATGAGGCCGAGATATCCAGCAAAAGTTTACGAAGTTGGCAGTCAGAGTTAGGGTCTAGGAATGAGAGGGAAACCAATGACGGATGACTGCCTTCTATGGATAGGATAACGGTCTGGCCTTGAAGGTCGGTTTGTCTGCAGCCAAATAGCAGGTAAAGAATGACAGGAAGGGGAAACCAGCCATCACGAAGGCCCATGGATGAAGACGCCTCAGACCACGGAACAGGGAGGAGAGCGGCACACAAAAGTGGCGACCTGTGGAGTGACAGCTCGTAAAAATGGCCAGAGTCGGGCTAACGTCGGTCAGCTTAGGTAAGGAGAATGACCCCGAGTTGGGCGCCGGTGTTGAATAGGAAAAATCTGCCAACCTTGGTGTTACAGAAGAAATACGCTCAGCACTTATGGTCCCCAAAAATGCCCGTCGCTTTCATCCGCCGACCGGGGGTTTTTCATGCGAGGACTGGAGAGAGCATGAGGGGATGCAACAACAGGGCTTTGTACTAACGCTGACGTTATACGAACAGATGTCAGGGGTTCACAGGCGCTGGTATCGACTGGGGGGCACCAAAATGGCCAGCAATACAATGAGGCTGCAGCACAACAATAATCACTGAGAGTTGGGCACTTTGCGCCTTGATCTCAGCCAGATCAAGGAAGATGGATGTACGGACACGCAGTTGTGAGAAATAAACGATAGGCTAGCATGTAACCGGTCACTTCTGACAGATTCTAAATGTCAAAATGTGGCTTGTAAATTTGACAATATTGCTCAAATCCACCGCTTAATTTTATGAACCTCATATAATCTCCTCTTAACACCGTCGAGAAATGCATGGTTTCCCGTACACGGAAAATATACAGCTTGTAGTTTTGAAACCCTGAATGCAATTGTAACAGCAGGTCGGGTTCAAAATTATTCGGGAATTAGAAAAGTTTTTTAAGACCGAATTATACTCTTCTTTTGAGTATGAAATTGGAAGAAGACGTGATTTTCTACCGAATAAGTAAAAGAATGAACATTTTTATGCCTGTTTTCCATGAAATATAATTGAATTTTCAAGAGCATCGAAAATCAATGAGAGAATTGCATACTACATAAGTAGTCACTTTTTGCAGAGTATAGACCTTGCATCCAGCCGAAAATAAGTTTTTTCGAAAGCCGACACCCTGAGGTAACTGGATCATTATAGATTTATGCTGCATCATGATTAGTTTTACAACACTACTTAATTTATCGTTTCGAAACGAGAACGTATTTCGAAATTTTGGTTGACATTTCATGAGTTAGCACATCTACTGTATGTTTTCAAAATTACTGGAGGGGCAAAGACGACTCCGAGAGGCTCAACAGCGTCCATAGAACTCATACTGGACATTGTGGCAAGAACGACTAAATGTGGGCAATTGGAATGGCTGAAACTGTAACCCATGCAGAAACGATTAGAAATGTAAGGTTGTCGTAAATGGTAATGTCCTCACGAACTAACAAATTATATCTCATGAGCCCCTAGCCTTAAAGGCAGCAAGTAAAACTAAGAAGTGAATAATATAAAGATGGTGAACGTTAAGAAAACTGGACAACACAGCACGACGGCGGAGCGCGCTAGCAAGGCGGTACCTCACCACAAGGTCAAACGTATGAATTCTCATAGGCCACCAGTGCCTTAAAAATGTCATCCCAAGTCCTGGCTCGACATGTGGCATCAAAGTGGCGAGCCGGCCTTGCCAAGCACTACGAATCAGAAACGCCAACAGTGGAACAGTCGGCAAGGCAGAAATAAGATGCAGACATGTCAAGAAATTCTACTAGCCCAGGTGGCCGCTATGAAAATCAGGGTGCGTATAGAAATGTGATCTGATAGGTAATCGCAATCAGTTGGCTAGGCACGGCGTCATAGGCACAGCGCTTGAGCATACTTTTAAATTTTTGGCATGATTTTATGAACTAGATAAGAGGACGGTATGGGAATGGGGAAAAAAGGGTCGATAACGGCTCCATCCGCAAGCCCGATAGGTATCGACAAGTGGATACACATAGGGAAGATCTTCTCAGTTACCCATTGAGTTCTGATGAGTTTTTACTTATCATTGCAGCAATGTCCATTGGTAACAGCGGGGTAACGATCATAAGGCTATGCAAAGCGGTTCTGTGAACAAAAGAGATTTTGCAATCCTGAGTTTCCATACCCCGAGGTCAAATAGAACTGCGTCCCATGCAAATGAGAATAAAGTTATTACCTCAGCTCATTGTCCAGCAGAATCCGGATTGTCCCCTTCACGTCTCATTTTCCTGAAACTCTAGACGGGCTGCATAAGTAGAATTATCTGACTAGCTTTCGTATGATTACCGACTTTATTTTGACTTCTGTTTTGACCATGCAAAAAAACTTCTGAAAATCTGCCCACATTTTCAGTATTACCTTCCGAAAAAGGATTTCCGTCAAAGCTTCTTATGCCTGTGGATATTGGGTGACACGCACATGTTAGTAAACGTCTTAGATTGTCCAGATGGGGAGTTTTCGTCCAGCCGCGAGATGCCCTCCCAACGTATGTCAAGCCAATATTCGATGCAATTTACTTCAAAATATTTGCAAGTCTCAGTTTTTGCTAATCCTTCACAGGTAGAAACACTGACTGGAAATAAAATACTGAACGAGTCATTGCTTTGAGTATTTAATCAAAATAGGTGACAAAGGGTCATCAACTGAAGGTCTTTACGGTATAGTGATTGTATTCAATATATGGCAGTATTCAGACCCTTCCAAGCTACTCATTTTATCAGGATGGCTAATTACAGAGTTTTGCTTACGTATAATGAGTTTCGGTGCCTACTGTACCTTATGTGGGCGAATCGCCGAACAGGCAACAGCAGTGAGGAAGAAGGACGCTAACTCTCAAGCTGCGGTTCATTCGACGGCACCTGACCACACCTTCAAGTTTGACGAAGTCGAAGTTCTCGCAATAGGCGGTAACCGAGTGAGCCGCGATCTGCCTGAGTCATGGTCCTCCGGCCCCCAACAAGTTCAACGACCTCGGGGCCCAATATTCCGCGTTCAGACTGCCTGGACAAAGTAATTAGCCATGTGAGGAGGGCGCGGGCGACCAGCAATTCCAGTGATAGTGAGTCACATTGCCGAGTCCATTACCCGCCAAGAATCCACAACGTTGACTGCATTTCGGCAATGAACGACCCGGCTGCGAACTAACAAACGATTGTCGCATCAATTTCGATCCGCAGCGATGAGTACGGGAGCTGTTAAGTACAGTAGGCATGTGGTGGCGTGGCGACTGCGGTCTGTGAATATCGCACTCCTTGTGCCTCCATCACGCGACTGCCATTAAGAATAGCTTATTAAATGTGTTGACCATCCCAAAAGTCCTGCAATGGCACCCATGTAAACATCCATAAAGTCAGAGTCCGTAAAATCAGCTTTTCGATTACTCATCATCACGTTTCCTCTTCCTCGCTTCGCATGTCTAACCAGCACGCAACTCGTCCATTCCTTGTCCTCAGTCGCTGTTTACATTTTGTGTTCCACAGCTACAATATTCAACTAGCCTCACGTTTGTCTTCTACTAAATAAGCAAGATCTTTCAAGTTGAAGAATAGGTCATTCTAATATCTTTGCATAGGAAACCTCGAAAAATATGTTAATGGTAAAAAAGATTCTGAGAAAAGTCAAGTAACTTCGGACTCAGCTAGTCAGTGCCGCTAATTTAGCACATAGAAAAGACTAAGAGCGAAGGCATCTACGAATTGTACTATTTGACGGATACTAAACTTTCTTCTATCCTCTCCCGTGGAAGCCCAGGCTTCAGCTTAGCGCTGCTGCTGTTGCGGTTTAACGTAGGGATGCGTCCAACAAGCGAACAGGCGAATTTTGTCCAGAAACCCGCTGAGCCCACTGGCCAGAAGGCACCAAAGTGACCCTTTATGCTTTCGGAATTTTCTAGGCAAGTCGTCACACTATTATAAACAAAGATGACAAAAGCAATAATGGCAAGGCCACAGACGGGGTTGCTTGTGAAAGAAGGCCGGCTGCCGTGCCCGCGTTGCATCACAGTCGTTCTGGTCCAATGAGGATCTTCCCTCGCCTACTACCTTCTGATTGGCTCTACCAGATAGGAGGAAATTTCAATTCAGTGAGCTCAGCCAGTACGGATTCAGTCCTCTCTGACTTGACTACACTCGCGTGGGAAATTGTTCCTTTCGGACTGCAGAAGTCTTAGCTCGTTGGAGAAACGACACTCTGTGATGTCGACCGATGCCTTGGCACGCATGATGCTGGAAACCGCTGCTCCCGCCAGGGAGCAGTTTAAAGGTCCTGGAATCTCTCTAGCCGCATGGAAATTTGACGAAGTTTCAGTCTACATATCAATCACATTGTTCATCTTGGCCGTCGTGCTCTTGAAAATTGCTTATCATAAGCTGCCCTGCATTGCCAGCTACGTACCCGAATCCCTTCTGCTAATAGTAATGGGCCTAATATTCGGTTCCATTATGCACTACATCCCCAATGCCTCAGCCTTTCGTCTCACACCCAATATCTTCTTCAACATCCTTCTTCCACCAATCGTACTTGAATCAGCATACAGTCTCTATAATAAAACATTTGCGGAGTTGCTCGCACCAATCCTTCTGTTTGCTGTTCTTGGAACCGTCCTAAACTTTCTACTGATCGGATTTGGTCTTTTGGCAGTTGATCTCTCCTCTGGGCTTGGAGAACCCTACCTCGGTCTCAGCATCAAGGAGTACTTGCTCTTTGCTTCACTCATTGTGGCCGTCGATCCCGTCGCCGTCCTAGCCATATTTCAGGATATTGGTGTTGATTTGAGACTGTATTACCTGGTCTTTGGCGAATCTCTCCTAAATGACGCAGTAACTGTGGTTCTCTACAATATTATGAGTGCTTTCGTTGCCACACCGGAAATTAGCTCTGGCCAAATTGTCATTGGAATCGGTTCCTTCTTCACCGTCAGCCTGGGTGGGGCTGTCATCGGCGTATTTCATGGTGTCATCTCATGCCTCCTGACACGTCTTAACATCTCCTCGGAGGCCATTGTACCTCTGTTGCTGAGCTACCTATCCTATATTATTGCAGATCTGTTCGGTTGGTCCGGAATCATCTCAATTATTACTTGCGGTATTTTTCAGGCAGCCTACGCTTTCCACAACCTAACTCCTATGTCAGTTATCTTACTGAAGTCTTCGCTGAAACAAATTGCTTCCATTAGTGAAGCTCTGATTTTTCTATTGATCGGGTGTGAGGTTTTCGCAGTGAGATTGAGGTGGCACACAGGTTTCGTGCTCTCTGCCGTGGTTATGTGTCTTCTTGCCCGGTTTGTGGTTGTTTTCGCTCTGGCCGCCGTCGTTAATCGTGGCAAGACAGAACGTGCCAAATTTCAATTCACGGCGCAAATTATCTGCAGCTACGGAGGTCTTCGCGGTGCGGTGGCCTTCTCTCTGGCCGTACTCCTTAAACCACACTTCCTCGGAAAAAACGGGAAGCTCGCCTGTGACGTGCTTGTAACCACCACCCTTGTGGTCATCCTCTTTACTGTGGCTTTCATGGGCATCACGATGAAACCACTTGTGCGCCTTCTGAATATTCGACTGGCAAAGAAAACTACAGAGAAACTCTTTGTTACACTGAATGACTCTGTCATGGAGCAGACTCTGTTGTACATTGATAAGCTGACTTCCGGTCCAGGGTACTATCGATTGCAGGAGTCCCTTGTTCGACTGGATGACAGGTATATCCGGCCTTTCCTCCAGCGCGATGCAGTGACACACAGCGGGAAGATAGTTGAAGTCTACGAGAAAATGGCTCTTCAGTTGCATTCTGATGCCATCTCGTCGCATGCTGCCCTCGAAATGCCAGACGAGAGTGGTGAAACCTCGAAAGCACCTCCGGCTCCAGAACAACAGTCCGTGGGCGACATCCCACTTGTGTATGGTGATTCCTCTGCAAACGTGACTATGCGCATGCCTCAGCATGTACGCAGACGTGTTAACATAGCAAGTATGCTGATGGATGGCGCCAACAATATGTACTTGCCACGCGAAAGTATTTACGATGGGGCCAACAATGCTGAGTTTGCTCGAATCAGGCGTAGTCAGGCTCATCTGATGAAAATTATGGATCGTGGTGAGAGCAGCAGAGTGAAGAATGGATGGGCAAATTTTCCACTTTAGTGACCGAACGATACCTAAATGATGGCGGGGCTGGTGAATGGGCTCCACTTCTGACAACTACTTCGAGAGACAAGCGACGTTCGGAGGCCGTTAATGGAACTACCTTGTAGTAATGGCCCATCAACTGGGCCATACCTACTGAATGCCACTCTTACGACACAGTATTCATTATTTTTAAAATGCAATCTGTTAGTGGAGTCTGAACGATTTTTGTGAAGTTTACTGGTACCTTCATATAAATTTCAGAAAAGGTCGACTAAATCGTGAAATCCGACCTATCGTTATATTTCCAGACTTCTGAAACAGGCTGAGGGTTTGTACCGGACTACGGATTTTACCGTCTCAGATCGATTTTGAGGACAGAGTTCGTTACTGTTTTTAGATGCCTGAGTTACAATCTGTGGGTGAAGCCATACTTGTGTAATTTGCGCTCTAAGGTTTCTGCATTTTCTGTTTGTTTTTCACTGTCGGGTTTGAGATATGATGGGACCTTTACGGGTATGTGAACGTTTTTGCAAAACGAGCTCTACTCTAAGTTCGCCAAATAATTTCAGACGATACTTAAGGACTAGGTTATTACAAGAGATCACATGGATGCTGGGGAATTTCTGCTGAGGGAATCCCCTCTCAGGTGCATCGCGCAGCTGAACCTTGGCTTGAAACTGGTACCCTTGGAGTAATTTCGGAAATCCTTTAGCGTATCACATGTAACGTTATTGCTAAAATAAACTTGAAAAAAGCCAGAGGGGTAAAAGAAGCTGGATTTAATGACGTCATGCAGTATGGTACGCATGCACACACTTTTGGACACGCCATGTGAAGACATCCTTGAAGAAATTCAGCATGATAGGCGATAAGTATCACTAAATGCTAGTCAGGCATTTTTTGGGAGAGAAACGTGCAATGTGCAAGACAGGTTAGAATAGTCTAAACGTTATAAGTCATAAACACCTTGGAATACAACCGTGGGCGAAGATTAGGTTAAAGTAGGGGGAGGGAGGAAGGGGCCATGTAACGGGCAGGCTACTGAGGTAATACGGGTTTTACGCAGTTGCCCGATTCGCTTTGGTTTCCACCCCGAATCGACGTGGTCTCTGAACAGTGTTGGGCACGATCCGTTCCTACGCAGAAGAGGACCGTAAAGGCCGATATTTGACCCACCTTGTGGCTATTATCGAACGGGCTCTTCGCAATAGAGTCGTTCAGCACCTTGTATCCACCCTAAGATCCACTTCCTCTTGTGTTTAGTCGGTCGGATTTGCCAGCGATATTTGTGTGCACTTGTTCCTATTGCCATGTACATCTAGCCTCATAAGTTCCGTTAAGAGTTGACGTCTACAGGCATGTTTTATTAAATTTGTCCGGTTGGAGCAGCCGTCGCAGCGTCCAAGAACAGATGGCTGGCGGCTGCGTTTGTGTTCGTTAAATCGCGTTTCGCCGTTTTCGCTTGATCATGTTGGAGACGTTATCGCCCCTGGATGGGTGACAAATGCTCACAGGTTTCTGCAGAATTGGTGGTACTTTTCGACGGATTTGCCTACTTACCCATCAGTCTGAAGGGTAACTTGGACGCAGCTGATCTTGACCTCCAGCGCATCAATGGCGTATGCATTGATGGAGTGATTAAGGAGACAGAAAACTGGTTCCTCTTTCTCTGATTTTGAGCCCACCTACTACAATGCATTGTATTTGATAAATAGATCTCAGAATGGACCTATCTTCGAGCCTGCGTGCGAGAATTTCCCAGTGTGGATCAGTTTGTCCAAATTATAACACTGATTGCCGACTTTGTGGCGTCTAACTAGTGTGTGTACTCGGAGCGCCACAATCATCAAGTCATGTCCCGAATACCAAGATAAGGGAGACTATAGAAGACACTAAAAGGCGGAATTTTTCTGTACAGAACCCCGAATTGGCCTTTCAAGCAGTAGTGACCGCTAGCGAGGCCAGGGCGCGGGCTGACTACGTCAAGTCATCCCAAAGAGGGAGAGTGTGTGCGTGTGTGTGAGGGAGAGACTGTGTTATCAGCCGCGGGAGCAAGTCCAAGTACTTTTTTGTCCAGGCCGTATGTTTCATTACCCTAACGGGTGGTGCGTCCAAGGGCCTATGTTGTACTGGCTGAGAGGTGGGTAGCGTGGTTGGTCATGGACGGCTGTCTGTATAAGCGCGTATGCACATATAGCAGGTGGTTAGACTGTGACAAGGTTAGCGCGTCCGCAACCGCGCCCGTGGGGTGGGTGGCTGACCTTGACGCGGCGGGACGTTGAACAAAGAGGGCTGCCGGCTGCGCATTTGGTGGGTGTGCGCATTGCGCCGTTTTGTCCCTGAAGGTTATATTCTAAGTTAAAACCTAATCGTGATATGTCCCGAGGAATTTAATCCGAATTCATTTCCTCCTTTGCAATTGAATTTGTTTGACTCGCCTACGAACATGGCCTGGAATACTCTGCTTCAGTTAGGGAAGTTGGAGACCGAACCACAACCCTTTCTATTCTGTCTTGACTTTTACGCAGCCAAAATGTTGGAAGCAAGTTTCCCAAACGGCGGTAAGATCGCAGTTCGTAGCCAGACATTGTGAGTCAATACTGTTGACGTACTTATTTGTAATCAGCAAGTGTGTTTCTCTTATCGAGGAAACTTGTTATCAGAGGGTGTGTTTCTACTAAGTTAGGCAGGTCGCCAGTTTCGGTCAGGTTGTTGGGCTTAGTGAGGGTAAGAGTTAGGCTTAGGATTAAGTTTTAGAGTTAGGGTTTGCGATTTGAGGTTAAGGTCTTAGGGCTAGGTTTTAGTGTTAAGGTTAGGGTTAGGTTTTAGGGTTAAGATTAGAGTTTGGATTAGGATTTTTGGTTAAGGGTCATGTTTCAGCGTTAAGTTTAGGGTTAGAGGTAGAGCTAGGTTTTAGGGTTGAGGTTAGTGTTGGTGTTTTGGTGAAGGCTTTACGTTTAGAGTTAGGGTTTTAGTTTTAGGCTGGCTTTCCGATTCCGGGCTACGAACTGCGATCTGACCCAAATGGCTTTTGTTCATGCCCTGAACGTTGTGCATGTATTCCCACTGTTGACATCCTGCCTTCACCGGAAGCCCTCCCTGCCTTTAATTCACTGGTTGGGTAATGTATCAGCAGGCAGCACCTGCTTAAAATCGGATAACAGTGTGCGGTAAGAATAGCAGACGCCCAAATCCTGTGTTGCCACAACAATCAATTATTCGTTCGTAGAGATGGCAACGACGACTAACACAGTCTGGAGAATCTGCCGAGTTTTTCACATTTGGGTCAAATGAATTATCCAAATCTGCCAAAAACACCAAATAAGTTGTGACGGAGGCTTTCGTATCATCTAAGTCACTATCTCCTTCAACGTCCCTCATATTTCAATAGCAAGGCCACGTAAAGACGAGTAGATATGCGTTTGGGCGCAGTGGATGACCAAGTATCCCACCCCGTCTGAGAGTCCTATATCCCTGTAGCCTCTCACATGCATACGAAGGTGACTTCCATATCTGGCGTCTCACAAGAGTGAGGGTTAATATAAAGGCCACGATGGGAAGGCGTCGTGGCAACCAGATTCCCGGTCTGCAGCATCATGTTATTTTCTCAGTCTGTAACCTTCTAGCCCGCCACCTTTTGCCTGTCGTAATAAATCAAACGTGCTTCAGACTCGTTAGTAAGAGGAAAAGATCACTACACAGGTGGGAACGCTAACAAGGACTTGGGGCGGCCTGTAGCTCCAGTCCCAACGAGGGCAATTGCATTGTGTCCAAGTCTGGATAGACAGTCAGCGAGCCGACTAGATAAGCCTTAGGAAATTGAATGTGTGCTGTAGGCTGAAAAACAAAATCAAGATTGCAGGCCTAACAGGGTGTATACTTATCAGAGAGGGCGGAAGAGCCATAAGTAAGAGGTTTATGGTCAGTGCAAATACGACATATTCCTGAAAATTCTTAATAGAGAAGTCGATGGCAAGGAGTTCTCTGCCAAAAATGGGTAAGGCTTGGTCCTGAAGTCCCACATGGTCGGTACCGTAGGGTTAGCCTACTAAAGCAATTTGAGTAGGTGTGAGGACTTAACATACGTCACGGCATCCGGCTTCGATATACTGACATACCTATGCCTACATCCACCGGTATGTTGCCCTAATACTTTCAGTGTCGTCGTTCGAGGGCAAGGGTTGCTACCATCGCGAAACATCCATCTGCTACTACAGAAATCCACAGACTTGCATATTTCATATCTGGTTGTTACTTCCCATGGCCATTTCGACGCTTAGTCCTGCGTCTTCGTCTGCGCTGTGTCAGTTTTTCGCAAAATTTGCGGACTAACCTTGACACTGTGTTCCCACTTCCGATTGGTTATTGATTTTTCAGCTGCATTTCCCCTCCACAAACTGTTCATAAGCCCTCTTCCCTTTTTTAAGTTCACGCGCTTCTTTCAACTCCCTTAAACGATCTGCATGCATTAACCTCTACCTGCAGTACACCCGTCCGTATTATCTTTGCCCTGTCAGTCTCGGCCGCGGCTCCACCCATGAAACCCCTATTAACACCATTCCTGTATTACAGGTGTCTCTGGTTTCCTTTTTTAACAGGGGCTGCAGGCCCAAAGCTAACCCAAAAGTGCTATGAGGAGGGGGGGGGGGGGGGGGGGGTTGTCAAATAATCAGAATAGAAGGCTAGTGGTTGGATTCCCGTTGGGGTCTTTTGCTGGTGGGCTGCACCTATGCCGCAATTGGAGGAGTCAACAACAGCGCAGAGCTGGCCCCCTAAAACGGGCCAGGTGGTAGATGCGCTAAAGCGACACAGGCGCTAGATCAGAGTCCGGCAGGCGTAATCGGGATTGCGCACCCATACCGAACGCCCACAGGCCCAGGTGCAGGCCCACTCAGCGCCAGCCGAGATGTGAGCCACAGCTCCCCATATTTGTTGATGTTGAAAATCCTGGTCAAGTGTTTGTTTTGGATTGGTGAGTGTGGTGGTACGCTAAGGCGCGTGTTTACGCTGTGTCAGCCGCCTGCGTCCTCTCCCACCTGCGGTCTTCTTGACTTGGTCATGAAACCGGGCCCAGGTGGGGAGAGGGATAGGGTGCAATAGATGCTGCTAAAGTCTATAATTACTGTAGACTAATTCACGCGCAAGTCACCGCCCCTGCCCTCACCCTGCTGTGGAGCATACGTTGGACATTGTCGAAATCGGCCGTCCAGCTGTCGTATTCGAAAGGGTCTCTTTGATGCGTTGGAAGGTGTTCACGGTTGTGCCCGGAAAGGTTAACTTGCATCTCGTAAAAAATAGTGGGAGGCAATATAAATTAAGCGCAATGAGGGATTAAACGTTGTTAGAACTGGAAAAAGCCTATAAAACGGCGCAGTTTTTGGAAAGTATTAACAGTAGGGAACTTGCGAGTAGCTGAAACTTTGGCGTCTGTTGAATGAATATCGAAAATGCCTACGCGTTGTCCCAGGAACAAGGGCGAGGAAACGCCAAAAACGCATTTGAAGGCGTTGACGAAGGCGTCAAATCGGCTCAACCGTTCAAAAATGAGACGTAGGTGCTGTGGGTGCTGTAGTCCAGTGGAGCTTGCATAAGTAAAGACGAGTGGCAAGCCGAGGAGGACTTCGTTAATGAAACGTTGAAAAGTCTGGGCGGAGTTACGGAGGCCAAAAGGCATCCCTACGAACACGAAAAGGCCGAACGGAGTCCTAATCGCTATTTTTTGATGTGTTCTCGGTCAACGGGGGATTTAGAGGAAGGTTTTTAACTAGTCAATGTAGTAAAAGATTGTTACACCAGTTAGGCTAGGGGAAAAGTCATGGAGGTGGGGAAGCAGCTATCTTTCACGGACAGTGTAGTCGTCGGTAATCATCACATGGACGCCAGTCTGTGAGAGACAACTTCCAAACAGTATGCAGAGGGGTGGCCCATGGACTAGTGGAGGGTCACACTACGCCAAGCCCATCGTATGGCTGAATTCAGCCCTGGCGATAGCTAACTTGTCAGAGGCTAAATGACGAGGACGGTTAAAAACGGAAGGTCTCGTCGTCGATATGTAATGTATGACGGAATGTTTAATAGGCTGGTTAAACTGTGAAGACCGGGTGATGAATTGAAATTCCTAAAGTAAACGGTAATAGGGAGTGGACGAAGAGATTGTGGAGATGTATGGACCGAAGAGTGATATGGTACGAGCTGAGCAGTTAAAATATAAGGATGCCATCGGGTTAACTACTTTGTGGGACCTGATATTGTCAAGGAGACCGACAAGGATGTAAAATCGGCATCGAGGATGGTGATATGCACATCAGTGATAATAAATATCCAGCAAAAACAACGCCGTAACCCAAGGTATGAAGGTAGGGATCGTTGGCCAAATGTTTTAATGGACGCACTATTAGCTGCCTTGAGAAAAAATGAAGATTTAGGTTTCTTACCCTCAGTCAGAGAGGGTAGAATTAGATTGATGTCAGCACCATTGTCTATGAGGAAATTACGGGAGGAACTCCTGTCGAAAATGTGGGTCAGACGACTTGGGGAGGTTGGACTGACCAATTTCTTCGCCGCTACGGGCCGGTGAGTGAGTTTTCCGCCGAGGAACCCTCGCAGTGATGGACATCTGACCCGAAGGTGCGGTGGTACCAATGAGAATTGCCAGACCTAGACGGGCATGACACTGCAATGGGAGACCTCTGACGGCGAGTAATGGAAGGACTTCGACAGTGAGAGGCACGAGAAGCCCGAAGTTGTGGAAATTCAAGGGAGGGGGCGTCTAGACGCTTCATGGCATCCTCGATAGTAGGCGCAGTTGGCACAACTGCGGTACGAATAGCAACACTGACTGAAACAGGAAGCTGCTATTACTCGATGATGTGGTCAGAAGTTTTCGTGAGCATCTGGACAGACGAGGAAGAACCGGTAGGTGCAAGGGGTAGCTTCCCCAAATGACAGCAGCCGTGGAAGGACATGTTACCCTAATATCGTGGCAGCAAGACTTTGTCCGTCCGAGAGCTGCTCCAGACGTCTAAGAAGCTGCGTAGGCTTTCTACTACCAAGCTTTTCCTTTGAAATCAGATTCTGCTTTCGTTTTTGAGTTACCTTAGAAATGTGAGAGATGAGAGCCTCCTTTAGAGTAGTGTATGGGGATTCTATGAGTGGACGCCCTATAATATCGCGAAGGTCGATGGCAATATCCATTAGCAGTGTTGTGACAGTGTAATGGAATTTTGTATTCTCTCTTGTAATCTGGTGGAGAGTGAAAGGGGATTCTACAGTCCTCAATCACAACTCAATTTCGCCAAGCCACACAGTTGGGAGATCAAACGCGCCGATGCCGGCTATCGGCTGGCTGGCTGATTCGCTGGTCATGATTGTGCAGTGTCGGTCGGTGGTCAGATAGTTGGGTTAGATGACTGACGTGTTGACATTGAGAACGATGAGCAGCACTTGTATTGGTTGAAAGGGTGAAGCAGCGTGGGTCGCAAGCGAGGTCTGGTTAAAATAATATGATCAGTGAAAAGTAGGCGGGGGTAAATCCAAATGGAAATTTTTAAGCATACAAATAAAACAGGAGGCCCTATGAATGATACGGAGTCATAGATAGATAGATATACAGGCCTATGCTTGGACTTCAAGGATAAGTATGCGCGGGTACATAGACAAGTAGAATGAAAAGAAACAAAGTAACTACAAGAATGCAGTTTGATGTAAAATTGTTACTGAAAGTTGTATCTAAGTCCGACAGGAGTTCTTTGGTGCACTAAAACAAAACACGCGTTCATGTCATTACAATCTGATCAGGAAACACGCGGGCTATGCGGGGATGACCGGCAGCATTGTGTCCGTTAGACTAAAACAAACATCACAATTAAAGAAAGCTGAGCACTCTGTTCAGAGCGCTACAATCGTTAGGCCAAATCCCGCGTTGTAGGAAAAGGCAGAAGTCACCTGAATGAGGGTTTAATCGTGCAGAACACCTAGTTTTCCTCGCAGACGGTAGTGGCTGCCGGCGAAACCGGGACCACCGTTGACTGCGTTCAGTCACGCCCGAGAGTTAGCGAAACAGTGGTCGTAATCGCTTTTGCAGGTTTGTGAGTCGAGCTCAAGTGGTGTAGTGTGTTGCATTTGTCGAGGGGTGGCGTTCAATTGGCTTATGTTATGCTCGCAGAGAGTGGTGTGTTCAAGTGGCGCATGACCAACTTCGATGTCATGGACGCATGTGCGTCCGAGTTGAAGCCAGCCGAGCGGCCGCAGGTCAGCACGTCCGGAAGCGCTCGCTGCGAAGGTGAATGACCTTGACGCAACGGGGTCCTAAACAAGGACGCCAAACATGACCGTCATAGTTGTCGTCAAGGCGATCCTCGATCTCACTGCCAGGAGTTGGTAAGACCATCTTACCGGGAAGTCGTAAGGTGACGCCGCAAACCAGTTCAACGGCTAAACAGACAAGGTCCGACTTGAGGGGGGAGTGGATTCCAAACAGGATCAGAGAGAGATGGTCCATCCAGTACTTCGGATCGTCTGCAGCGCATAGGGGGGTCTCCAGGTGGCGGTGAAACCGCTCGACCACCTTGCTGGCAGCGAGGTGATAGGCTGTCATGCGGTTGTGAATAGAACCTGGAAAAGAGAAAGGAGACTGGGAGAAGTGATAATCAGATTGGGCACCCCAGTTAGTCGTAACGGTGGAGGGAGAACAAAAATGGCAACCTAATGACTTAGGAAGAACTTAACCACTGTTTTAACGTTAACATTGGGCGGAGGAACTGTATCCGGTTACCGGGTGAAACGATCCACATAGGTTAGGAGACAGGAAAAGCCGTTGAACAAAGGTAGGAAGCCCATAATATCCAGGCGTACATGTCTGAACCTTGCATCGGGTCCGGAGAAGGTACCAATGGCAGCTTTGTTGTGCTGCTGAACCTTACTCCGCTGACAGCCCAGACACGCTTATGTCCAAGATAAAAGGACCTTGTGCATCCCAGGCCAGACGAGGTGGTCAGAACCGACTCCGTCGGTAGCTCAATTCCTTGGGTAAGGAATATCTGCAGCGAGGAGAGACCTTGCGGTGGAGGGTTGGCGACACAAAGAGACGGTGGGAGGCGATGGAGACATCGCTGAGAATGATCCTGTCACCAGAAGTCAGTGAGAGGTTCTGGAGTTGGCGTCTGGAACCATCCTTAATACAGGGAGAACCAAAACGACGATGTTCGGCAGTCATTACAGTGAAGTCGACCCCGACAGGGAGTTGGGAATGGGCGATAGAGGGCCCGAACTGTGCATCAGCCATCTCTTTTCGTGACCCGTCAAGGTGGCGAATATCTCAGGCGAATTGGGATATCTAGTCCAGGTGGGAGATCTCCCAGGGGTTGGCTGTGTCAGAATTCGACCTGAGAACAGTACGAAAAATCATATAATATGTGCATACTACTAGCTGTATGTTGCCAGTTTATGAATGTTGCTCGACTAATCCTCTGTGGGTGATGAATTTCGACTCAAATATTCATGTCAACTTCTGGCTGGGCCTATAAAACTTCATTCTTACTGATTAACACGAAGTTAACGATTAGTTACTGAGATTTGAAACCCGGAGTACGCAATGGAATGCACATGGGGAACGTTGAGGGCCCACTGTTGGACTTAATCCCTCTCAACTGCATCATACGGCGGCAGAATATCGGCGAAACAGGTGTGTGGGTAGTTACCTAGTGCCTATATTACCAGCCGCAGTGCGACTACTGGCGGGGCTCGGGATTGAGCCCCAAGGCACTATGGCATACGCGAGTCCCGTAACGCGATCGGTGGGCGTCCCACTTACAGTTCCTGTTTTCTCATTGCAGCAAATCACACGACAAAGGAAAGGGGCTGGCGGCTCGTGAACACAGCGAATTCTCTGCTCTCGGAGAAGTGCCGGAAGTGTTTCACGGCAAGGTAGACGACGATAAACTCTCGTCCAAGTGTACTGTAACGCAATTTGGCAGATAATAAGTTTCTGTGGAAGAAAGCTAGGGATTGATGCGACCTGCAAGGTGCTCTTGGAGGGCAGCGCCGAATGCAACAATGGAGGCGCTAACCATGAGGGCGATATGTAAGTTAAGAGAAGAATGGGTCAGGAGAGTGGCATCGGTCAGGGTAGCCTTTACCTTGTCAAAAGCAGCGTAAGCATCTGCGGAGAACCGGAACGAACGTACGTGAACAGAGAGGAGACTCTTAAACGGCAGTATGGTATCGTCACGGTTCGGGAGGAACTGGCGATAAAAGTTCATCATGCCGAGATGGCGCTGCAATTGACGCTTGGAAGTGGTGAGGCGGGAAATCACGGATAGCCTCGCCATTTAAGCTCAGAGGGTAGATACTAGTAGAGTCGACCAAGTGTCCGAGGACCTCGAGAGCGATAACTCTGAGGACACACTTAGACAGATTGAGTGCAGCGTATCCTGCCCGGGCCGTCAGGACATCATGCCACAAACGCGTGACAAGCGAACGATCAAGGTCATGGCCCCCTATTCACACCGTCTTTGTGCTGATTGGCCACCCATCAGCCTATGACAGTCCCCCTTGCTATATACCCGGCCGTTTCCACAAGCCTCCTCACTTGTGCTGTCTATCGTACTCAGTACACGTCCTATTTCCAATTAGCCTTCTGTTTTGCATACATAACATTGAGAACATAGCCTAATTGCTGAAGGCGGTCAAACACCGTTGCAAGATTCTTCATGTGCTCTTCGGGTGGAACTCGCCGTAAAGAGGGTAGATCACGGACCATTCTATCTGTGCACTTCTGGGAAGTTTGAGAGACGTGGTGGAGTCCAAAGCGCATGCGTAGGAACTCAAATAGGTCAAAAGAATGGGGGACGGCTCTCTTCGAAACGTCCTCCGTGACCCTAGGGATCCGATGGGAAGTCCCGACCAGGCCAATCTTCGGAAATTAAGACTTGCCGAATAAGGCACCAGAAAAATCCTGCAGATGAGGGAAGGGTAGCCGTCCTGGAGGGTGATGTTTTTCAAGACCCCGTAGTCACCAAAGCGGCGCCAGTCTCTAATGTCAACCTTGGAAACCATATGCAGGGCTTAGATTCAAGGGCTTCCAGATTAACGGACCATGTTCATCTATGGTGTGTGCAAGAACTCGGCCTTGGCGACAGCAAGACGTGCAGACGCAGGGCGACGGGACCGAGAAAATATTGGGTGGGGGGGGGTCAGTGGTACGGTTGTGACAAACAACGTCGTGTGGTAAAGTAGGGCTGTTGAAGTTGGGACAAGTGACGCTGAAACATTTGGCGAAGAGCTGCAGAAATAGGTTATCTGGGCCAGTGTCCAGGACGGTGAGATAAGGGGATACCTCAGAGAAAGGAGTACCGCGGACGGTTAGACTGGCAGTCTGGCC